TATATTCTTAGAGTTTAATTTCCTTTTCCTGTTTTTCCAATGGGTAAGTTTCTAACTTATCCAGACTAAAATGTGATAAATGTAATTTTCCTCATTTTATTTGGTGGGATTTGACCCATAATTATTAGTAGAGAGAAGAGGATAGAAGAGGGAGACCGAGTCTTTTGGCGGGCGGATCCAAGTATCTCAAATTTCCTTTGTTGGTATATTTATTACACAAGCCGGTCAAATTTACGGTTTATTTTTCATAATCGATACACATAAATTATATATTGATTATACACGATTATACATATATTATATATTCCCAACTATTTTTAACTTAAACGATTTAGTGATCAACTACGTCTATTTGGATTGAGTGAACGACACTCAATACCATTAAACTGTAAATCTTCGTAGTTCATGAGTAATGCATGTCAATTAGTTAGGTAATTGGAAAGAACTACGTTTCAGTCTTAATCTTATATTTTTGCCTAGTTTTGAAAAAGCAAAATTAGTTCTTTGTTACTTTGTTTGGACAAAGGAATCGTTCCTTATTTTTTTGCATTCATACTACCTATAGATGTTAAATATCATATGTATATGACATTTCGTTTATGAGTAAATCTAAAAACAAAATTATTAATAAAATAAAAATCGATTAATCTTTCTCATTACCTTTTATCTAAAGCATAAATAATAGTAAAATTTAACTCTTTCTATATGTAATTTACTTTTTAACTGTCACATATAAATATAGACAATAACATAGAAGTTAAAAAACTAAAACAAATTCTACAAAAATAACTGATTCCTTTTTAATAGTATAAAATATCATTCAGGTAACTTTTCGGGGATAAAAAATTCAGGTAACTTTCATTGAAGTTGACTAAGACTGTGAACCAATAAGGGAGCAAGGAATAAGTTGAGCCACGTGAGGTTGAGCACAGGTGATTAAGACCGGGTACCTGAATCTAATCACCAAAACCAAAGACCCATTACTTTATGGCGCTGTTCTTATCGTACGGTCTATACGGAAATTTTAATTTACCGGTTCCATTAGTAGCCGGTAACCCTAATTTCTTATATACGCGCTTTCAACTTTTTCCCGTTTTCCTTATACAACACGTCTCTGAGCTATCCGTAATAAAGTGAGAAGTTTTTTTCATAAAACGAAAAGAAAAGAAGCTTTAATGACTTATTGCCAAATTTTTATTTCCAATATTAGAAAAGGATAGAATAATTCTGTTGAAAAGTTGTCACAACAAAAATGTGATAGAGACGGTTTTGTTACTTAGACACAGGGTTTCTTTGTGTACGTAATAGAAAGACTGAATTTTAAAAATATTAAAATGTTTTCCTAAAAATTGAAAAACAAGATTATTTGAAAAATAAAAAATGTTTTTCCGTAAAACTAAAATAATAAAATAAATATGTTTTGATAAGTAAATGTTCATAAAAGATGCATCTTCTTAAGGGTAATTCAATCTAACAAGCTTTTTTTTTCCCTCCAAAAGTGTATATCTTACGAAACTTTTTGAAAAGCTTATTATTAATTGTCAGGAAATCAACGATCATTTTAATGTCACTTTACTTAGTTTTATAAAGTAAAGTGAAGTGCATCAAGGACGAAGAAGGTAGAGTTTTGTTGGATGAGGGGCTTATTCGTCGGAGATGGAAGACCTACTTCCATAGTCTCTTGAACGAGGAGGGGGACAGGAGCATTGTACTAGGTGATTTGGAACTCTCCGGGAGTCGTTGTGACTTTGGGTATTGTAGGCGGATTCGAATTGATGCAGTTGAGGGTGCTATGCGTAAGATGAGCAGGGGCAAAGCGACCGGGCTGAATGAAATCCCGATAGAGTTTTGAAAGAATATGGGCAAGGCGGGCTTGGAGTGGCTCACTAGGTTATTTAATGTCATTTTTAGAATGAAGAAGATGCCCGAAGAGTGGAGGTGGAGCACGATGGTTCCTGTATACAAGAACAAGGGTGATATCCAAAATTGCAATAATTATCGGGGTATCAAGCTGCTTAGCCATACTATGAAAGTTTGGGAGAGAGTGGTAGAGCTAATAGCGAGAAGGAGTGTGACTATTTCCGAGAACCAATTTGGGTTTATGCCGGGGCGTTCGACTATAGAAGCCATCCACCTTGTTAGGAGATTGATGGAGCAGTATAGGGAGAGAAAGAAGGACTTGCATATGTTGTTCATCGACTTAGAAAAGGCGTACGATAAAGTTCTGAGAGAGGTTTTGTGGAGATGTTTGGAGGCTAGAGGTGATCCTGTTGCCTACGTTAGGTTTATTAAACACATGCATGATGGAGTAAAGACTCGGGGGGGGGGGGGGGACTCGGACCATTTTCCGATTATGATGGGGTTGCATCAGGGGTCAGCACTCAGCCCATTTTTGTTTGCTTTGGTGATGGACGTACTGACGTGTCACATCCAAGGGGAGGTGCCATGGTGCATGCTATTTGCAGATGATATTATATTGATTGACAAGACACGAGTCGGTGTGAACGCGCAATTAGAGGTATAGAGGCAGACCCTGGAATCTAAGGGTTTCAAGTTGAGCAGGACCAAGACAGAATACTTGGGAGTGTAAGTTCAGCGGCGAGACTCTAGGAGGGGAAGAAGAGGTGAAACTGGACTCGCAGGCCATCCCTAGGAGAGGGAGTTTTAAGTACCTCGGGTCTATTATTCAGGGGGATGGGGAGATTGATGAAGATGTCGCACATCGTATTGGGGCGGGATGGATGAAATAGAGACTCGCTTCTATTGTTTTGTGTGACAAGAAGGTGCCATCGAAACTTAAAGGTAAGTTCTACAAAGTGGTGGTCAGACCAACGATGTTGTATGGGGCTGAGTGTTGGCCAGTCAAGATTGCTCATGTCCAAAAGATGAAGATAGTAGAGATGAGGATGTTGAGATGGATGTGCGGGCACACCAGGTTTGATAAGATCAGAAATGAGGTTATTCGCGATAAGGTGGGGATGGCCTCTATTGAGGACAAGATGCGGGAAGCGAGGCTTAGGTAGTTTGGTCATGTGAGGAGGAGGAGCACAAACGCCCCTGTGAGGAGGTGTGAGGGGTTAACATTGGAGGGCCTACGGAGAGGTAGAGGTAGGCCAAAGAAGAGGTGGGGAGAGATGATTAGGCAAGACATAGCGCAACTTCAGCTGACCGAGGACATGACCCTTGATAGGAAGGTTTGGAGGCCGAGAATTAGGGTATTAGAGTAGGTAGTGTAGAGTGTTCATAACATTAGTATTGGCACGCAGTCTAGGTCGGATCCCTACGTTCGCATCAACGTCCTAGCGAGTGGTGTTCAGCTTGTGTGGCTAGGTCGGATCCCTACGTTCGCATCAACGTCCTAGCGCGCATGCTATCTTAGTCATGGCACAAATGCAAACTAGGCTTGTTTGGCGTCGGTTTCCTGTGTTGCATACCTAATGCCCATGCATTATCAAGTACAATCGGTTGCCTTTCGCCGCTCGTATTCCATGTGCCAGGTGAACCAAAGTTGCAATTATGTCCCACGTCATCCTTGCTTCGTCATGCAATGTCTTGGTCCATGACTAGAATGCTTGGACTCTCAGATTCGGTAAACGCAATGGGCATGGGGTCTTAATTGGATCATATCTGCCCAAAGAATGCTCCTTACGAATGACGGTCGTGCTCGTCTTGGACTTGGACGTGCCCTTTGGGTCGGCCATGCTCATGCGACGCCGACGTCAATGAGGAACGCTACCTGGTTGATCCTGCCAGTAGTCATATGCTTGTCTGAAGATTAAGCCATGCATGTATAAGTATGAAAATATTTAGACTTTGAAACCGTGAATGATTTTCTAATTTATTAATTTGTTGTATTTTGTGAGATTTTATTTCATTGCAATTTTATATGATTTGCCAATCTAAAATAAGAAAAAACGGCAATATTGTTTGATTCAATATTAAACATAATTACCAAAGATATACACACGTATAAGTTGATATAGGATAAAAAATAAATGCAATAATTGCATAAAAATTTTATGCTAGTTCTAGTAGTACTTAGGTCATGTAAGTATTTGTAACTTGATTGTCATCACCTAGTTGTTTAAAGTGTGGGAATATCAAAATATTAATTAGGTTGTTTCTTAGGGTAAATTGTGAAGCGAATATCCTTTGTTATAGCTACTTCCTTAACATGGGAAATGAAATAACTTATTTTCAAAAACTTATTGGTTGTTTAATCTTGACATTAAAAAATAAAAATAGATAAATAACACATAAATAGAAGATTAAGTTATTCATATCTCTATTTGCAATTCACCTATTTGTCCTATTGACCTTTTCATCTTCCTAACATTCCACTAAATTAGTCTGACCTTGTCGTTTTTACGTCGCATTTATTCCCATTCTGCTTTTGGAATTATATTCAGTTATGAATCGCTTAACGAATAAGTTAAAAAGAATAATGTCTGTATCTGTTACTTCAATTCAAAGAAGTTTGTCGTATCGACTTTTTTTGTCTTTCCGATGATCTAAAGGAATTGCTTAAACATTCCATTAAATAATCCGATCTTGTCTTAATATAATATGTCGCATTTATTCTCACTCGGTTTTGGAGTCTAATTCAACTGTAAGTTATTGATGAAAAAAGTTAAATTTATTTAGAAAAGATTCTACTCAAAAGAAAAAAGAGAGAGCTAACTTTGACACTTGTAAAACAAATAGTTGATGGCACTTGAAGGTGTTCCAAATCTCAAAGGCAAAGTCACCTTTCATCAAGAATTATAAATATACCATTTGCGACAGAGAACATGAAAGGTTCCATTCCACTACAAAACTCAAGTGTCATAAAATGGTCAACAACTTTCAAGAACGTACTATCCACGCGTCATTATCGCGAGTAGGGAAACCCACAAAGGAGAGGAAGCTAAAAAATAGATCAACGGTTACAAAGCAAAAAGTAACAACTCATTACTTAATAATACAAAAAAGAAAGAAAAAAACCAAACAGTACTTTAATTGAATATATCTTTCTTTTTCTCATTTCTTGTTTTCCCATGTCTCTTCCCATCTTCCACCAAAAAAACAAAGTACAAAGGGAATGATAAAAAAGAACAACACCCATTTCACCCCTTCACAAAATTTGATCTCCAAGATTTGTTCAATTTCTCTAGGGTTCTTGAATTTCATGGAATTCAACTGTTCTATTTGTGTTGTTATTGTTGTACTTTTGGTGTGTACTTCTTTAGTCAGTGGTGGTGATATAGTTCATCAGGATAGTGTTGCTCCAAGTCGCCCTGGTTGTAACAATAATTTTGTTCTGGTAATCTTCTCACTCTCCTTTGACTGTTTTTTACTTCTCAAAGATTGAGTTATTTATTTATGTTTTTGGCTAAAAGTTCATTTTTTGGTTTTCTCCATTTGTTTGGAATATGCTCTCTTGAGTGCTTGCATTATTTAGTACTGAAATGAAATTGACCTAATAGAGTGAAATAGATATAGAAAATTCAATTAGCTGAAACCATTGAAGCGTAGTTGATTGATTGTTTATCTCTGTCTGGTGATTTGTCCTATGTCAGTAATTGTCGAATGACGTAATAGCTATTAGACAATTTAACTCTCTATTTTATTTTGTTTAGACAAAGGAACTATCCTTCTGCTATACGTGTTTAATAGTATTAGAATCTAAACAATTAAAGTGAACTATGATGTTAGCACCCAAGGGGTGGCCTAACGGATAAGTTGGATTGAAGACTATGATGGACCAGTAGAGGTAAAAAAGTTAGTATGATTGTTGCCCTTTTCTTAATATTTATTCAGCTTTCCAAGCAAACGAGGCAGCTTTACCATCATCAGTTCGCCTGTGGCATGATCACCAGATCCAATGAAAAAAACTTTCAAAAGGAATGAACTGAGAGAGTACGCCTTAATTAAATCCAGTGAGTTGTGCAGAACTCTGGTGGAGTAGAACACGTGGGAATTTACATATTCTTGTATAGCAATTAGCATGACCGTAATTTATTTTCCTTCATCATTATATGAACTGGCATGAATAAACCAGATGTCATAGTAAAAAGTACACTGTAGCGTGCTGGTTGTTTTACTTACAGTGGTCAGGGATTCGAACCACATCTTGGACATTTTCCTTATCAAAAGAAAATGCCCAGATGTCATAGTGTTGTTCCATACATATGTGCCATGCTATTTGGAAGAAAAGGCTCCTTGTCTTGTCACATAGATGTAAGATAAATTGGGGACTCGGGGTGTTATATTTGGAAAATTGTGTTTTCTCCTTTCCCTCTTAGTGAAACTTGTTTGACAAACTCCCTAGCATAACAGGAGTTAGTGTTATGGTTGGTTCTGTGTCAGTATCACGTGGAAGCAGAATGCAGTTTAGATGTTAATTCAATTATAGCTTGGTCAAAAGTTTTATTACTTGTATTATGTATATAATATTTTGGAGTCTCTTTGTCACATGGTAGTAATTGGACATATTATCTAAAATTATCTGAATAGTGTTTCCTCAAATAGGTAAAAATTCCGATTTGGGTTGATGGTATAGAAGTAACAGAGTTTGTTGGTGTTGGGGCTCGATTTGGCCCGACATTGGAATCAAAGGAGAAGCGTGCCAATCAGACAAGGCTGGCCTTTGCAGATCCTCCGGATTGTTGTAGCAAACCTAGGAATACGGTTGGTTCACATTTATTTCTCCTGTTCAAAGCATATTTGGTTGGAAACCTCAAGACAATTGTCATTTGTATAGCGAACTCAACATTTAGGTTTCTAATATGTGATAGCTCACTGGTGAGGCCATCCTGGTGCACCGAGGCAATTGCAGTTTCACTACCAAAACAAACGTTGCAGAAGATGCTGGTGCTTCAGCTATCCTCATAATAAACAACCAAACAGGTTCAAGTGCTCTTCCTAAGTATTATCTGTACTGTTTTCCATGTTCCAATATGGATTGGATCATTCTTGATGGTCTTGTGCAAACTGCAACTAGCCAACCAACAGTCACAATTTATTTGTTGAACTGCAGTCACTTTATAATTTTTGTTACAGTCAACACTATTTCCTTACTATCAAATGTCAGTGATCGTTTCTGGTGTTGACCTGGAACATCATTATAGTGTGTTGATATGCACATGCAGAGGGCTACATATAACTTTGGTTCTCTCATTGCTCTGTAGAGCTCTTCAAGATGGTTTGTGAACCTGATGAAGCTGACCTGGACATTGGTATCCCTGCTGTTATGCTCCCACAACATGCTGGCACAAGCCTGATACAGTTTCTTGGAAACAGCTCTTCTGGTGGGTCTTGTTGCATTTTATTATTTTGTAGGTATATTTGGGAAGGGTTGGAGGACACTGCTTATAGATTTATCTGCTTAGTTGGCTGACTGCATTATGTGGCTTCTGCATTGTTTGACACGATCTCTATTATTGTTGATTTGTTTCCAATACAGTGACTAAAAGATTTCCCATCTTTCAGTTTCTGTGCAGCTTTACTCTCCAAAGCGCCCAACAGTGGATGTAGCTGAAGTATTTTTATGGCTTATGGCTGTTGCTACCATATTGTGTGCTTCTTATTGGTCTGCATGGCGTGCCAGAGAAGCTGCAATTGAGCAGGACAAGCTCTTAAAAGTAAAGTCACAAACCTCTCTCTGTGTCCTTTTTTCCCCTGCTCTTTTTGCAGTGTTCTGTGCATTTTGCAATTTTGAAGCAATCAACTCACTGCATCTTTCCTTAACAGTTTGGTTGAAATATGTATCTTGATCTCGCAGGATGGCTCAAATGAATGCAATGGTACAGAGATGTCTCGTTCCGGTGTTGTGCTGGAAATCAGCATTATATCAGCACTTCTGTTCGTGGTGGTTGCATCCTGCTTCTTGATTATGCTTTACAAATTGATGTCCTCCTGGTTTATAGAGGTTCTAGTGGTTCTGTTCTCCATTGGGGGTGTTGAGGTATGTCAAACCAAAAGAAAGAGCCCTAGTTCAAGGATAGTAGTCAAAGATTTTATGCAAATAATAACGCCCTAAGTATGAAAGTGGCAAATCAGAACCTTTTCATTTTTATCTCTCAATACCTTTCATATTTGTCTCCAATTCAATTCCATCCGCAGGATGGCTCAAATGAATGCAATGGTTCTTTTCTACTAATTGCATCTTCTTGATGCCAGCAATACAACACCTTACTTCATCCAAAAAAAAATTCAATTCCATCCGCAGGTGATCCCTTTCATTAATCCAGCTGAGTTAAGAACTTTCTGGCACATTAGTCATATGTAGAGAAGACGTGAATGGATTGAATGAAGTTATGATCATTCTATCTCCATATGGACAACTTTTGAAGTGCATGCTAACACTTTTTTTGCATTGTGCTTACAGGGTCTACAAACTTGTTTGGTCGCTTTGCTATCATGGTAGGTATCTTATTGGTGTTATTCGTCTGTTATCTTCATAGCTAGAGTGATCAAATGCTCTACTAAGCAAAACCACGTTTGCACTGTTTCCAGGAGTAGTTTTTTTCAAGAAGTTTTGCAGAAAAAGTTTCTGAAAGAACTAAAGAACTAAACATCTTTTTTTTTTTTTTGTTGAGTTGATAGGTAAAATTATCCAAACATCTTCATCAAAAGATGTTTGGATAATTTTACCTATCAACTCAAAAAAATAAAGATGTTTGGGTAATTGTTTTATAGAACTTCTGTTGCCTACTGGATTTTATTAAAAAAATAAATTTCAAACTCATTTTTGACAAACTGTCCAAGCAAACACCACACAAACTAGAACAGTTTGCAAAGCTTTGCAGAAACGTTTGCATGGTCAAATGGACCTTAGAGTGAAGAGGAATAGATTGGAATATGTAGTTTCAAATGTTTGCTTAGAGGGGTAAAATATGGAGCAAAAATAAACATCTCCCCTTTTGTATTATGTGAAGGTTTGAGTGGGTTGGCTGATTTCATAACTAACCGCATATTTTCGTACTGAGCATCATCCATAGTCCAACTGAAAACAAAGGAAAACATCTCTTGTTTGATGCAAATGCTCATTAATCTTACTTTTTCAACTGGCACTCTGCACTCTTCTTTTTGGCTTCAGAAATTCAGCACGACGCTTTTACTCCAAGTAAGACCAAGAATCAATATCGATCTATAAATAGCTAGGTGTGTGTGGAAAAACCAATACAAGTTTCATCAACTTATACCATAGCATTTTAGGTCTCTTTAAAATAATATCTAGGATTCAGGCCTTAAGCGTAATTAGTTAGAGTGATCTCAAATCATTTTTAATATTGGATATGAAGCCCCAACATTACACGTTACTGCCCAATTCCTGTATTTTTTTTTGTTTTACGCCCTGTAACTCATCCTCAACCCGGCATAATATCTAGGATTCAGGGCCTTAAACGTAATTAGTTAGAGTGATCTCAAATCATTTTTAATAGTGGATATGAAGCCCTAACATTACACGTTACTGCCCAATCCCTGTATTTTTTTGTTTTACGCCCCGTAACTCATCCACAACCCGGCATGGGCAGACGATAAATCAACAATTCAAAGTGCTTTTCGTTCGTATTCTTGATAAACCAACGTTTATATATAGACGTAGGAGGATCTGTTTGGGAAGTAAGAAGCCGCTTTGTCATTTCTTCATCTGCAAATAATTCTCGATGTGAAAACACATAGCTAGGGGGCTGATCTTTTAATAGGAAAAAGAGTTGATCGGCAGGGTCCCAAAGGAATTGATTTATTTGAAAAAGACCAGAGTAATAGTTAGTAAGGCTCCAGTTGTGCATGCTTTGGTGAAAGTAACTGTGGCTTAGACCTTCACTGTACACTGTAAAATACAGAGCTGCCAAACATGCTGTTTATCCTTCTTTTCTTCTTTTATCATTCGCTATAGAGTACAGATCACCATGTACTCTTTCAGATAACCTAGGGGTGTGCTCTTTCATTGTGGTGCGTTATGATCCCTTGTCATCAATTTTGTTTGTTGTTAGTCATTGCTACTAAATTTTTATTTTCCTTAAATACTGTATAAGTTCATTTTACGTACCACGACTTTGGTTGCTAGTTGGTTCTTAGAAGTGTAGCTAACATTCATTTTATATAGTTTCAGATGGTTTGAGCGCTTTGGAGAGTCCTTCGTTAAAATTCCTTTTCTGGGGCCTGTTTCATATCTGACGCTGGCGATTTCTCCATTCTGCATAGTCTTTGCAGTTCTGTGGGTAGTTTACCGTCGTATCTCCTTTGCTTGGATAGGTCAAGATATACTCGTAAGCATTTTTACAATATTGTAATTTTCCTTCGTCTAATATCATCTCAGTTGCTTGTGTCTCTTTCGTTTCCTTCTTTTTCTCTCAGTTTCAACCCTGACCTGTTGCCTTAAGGATGACATGATATGCTTAAAAAGAGTTGACATGTACTTTTGTCGATTAAGTCAGTAGGTATGTCTTTACAGACGTGGTTGTGAGGGAAAAAATGGAAAGTCTGCTTGCTCTATTGTCAGCATATTGGTACATCTTTGCTCTTGAATTGACCTACCTATGTGCTTGGACTCTTTTCATCTTTTGTTTTCAAGAGCAATATTGGTTTGTGGGTCTTTTTCTGGGTGACCTTTTCTTGACTTGTCAGGTTCCGTTCTCTTTTTGTTCTTTTGGAACTACTGTACTGCTGAAATTTCTTGTTTTCCGGAAAATCTTTAACGAATTAAATCTAACATTTTATTCTTTTCTAGACACTTGGAAATATGTTTTTTGTTCATCCTGCAACATAGTGTTAGGCATATGTTTGTGTTGGGATATCAATTTTTATTCTTTGGTTACCACTCCTTTCAATATGTATAATTATATATCTAGACACTAGAGAAAGCTCTCAAACCCCACCCCCACCCCCACCCCCAGCCTGAAAGAGAAGAAAAGGAGAGTATCTTGAAAATTGGAAAGCTCTATTTTTGTTCATATTAGTATTGATCCAAGTTAATGGATTGACAATCTCTCTTTACTAGGGTATTGCATTGATCATCACCGTTCTCCAGATTGTGCAAGTTCCCAACCTCAAGGTAAAACAATTCATGCTGCTGGTTTTTTATTGCGTTATAGCTGGACAATTTTATGTACTGTTTTGGCTTTAGGAAAATGGTATATTCCTGGACCTTCTCCCATTACTGCTTGAAATTTTATTGTTGATGCGCAAGTTCTTCCATAATGTGGTAACCTGTTCATTTTATATCAACTGTTAAGTAGATAAGAGCTCCTCACAAACCTAAACACTGTAGAAGTTAACCTTGGACTTTGGTGGAAAATCTATTTTTTCTTTGTAAGTCATTAACTGATAAGGAAGGAGGAGAGAGTGCGGAGAAAGTTGCCGATCATCTTTGACTGACCTTTTTTATACAATAAGAAATACGTTGGATTACCACTAAGGAATCACAAATTTCCCTTCTTCACTTAAATCTTCCCTCAACCTCAAGAAGCTTACCAAATATGTACAGTTCCCAGATGGTTATGAATGTAACTCATTTTAGAGTTTAGAGCCCCTAAAAGGGTGATAAACATATCAGCGACCTGCTCCATTGATTTTGCAGAGGATGTTTAGAAAGCTGAGATGGTGGGTTATAGAATTCGTCATTTGTAGTTGCCCTCTTTTCCCTCCTCCTAACGGAACAACGCTTTATTCCTGGTTTCTCTGCAGTTTATCATGTTTATCTTTTGTCCTGCAGTCAAACAACTACAATAAAAAAGCAACAGTAAGAGCTAATAGTTTGGTTCAGGATAATCTTCTAGTCTGATGATTTATCAGTCCTTCTTAGACTTGAGTTCTTGCTGAAAAGTCCAAAGATTATCACAAGTACTGGCATTCTGACATTATCCCTTATTTTCCTTGACTTTATCAGGTGGGAACAGTTCTTCTAACCTGTGCTTTATTGTATGACCTTTTTTGGGTGTTTCTTTCCAAACCGTTGTTTCATAAGAGTGTGATGATAGTGGTAAGCTCTTTATTTGTTTGTTTGTATTCTTCTTTATGTTCGTTTGCGTACTTTTTACCCTGCTAACTACAAAGGACTACTGCTCCGGAAATATGATCCCTTTCTCCTGAATAGGTTGCACGCGGTGATAAAAGTGGAGAAGATGGCATTCCTATGCTACTGAAAATTCCACGGATGTTTGATCCTTGGGGTGGCTACAGTATCATCGGGTTTGGCGACATAATTTTACCAGGTTTACTGGTAGCATTTTCCTTAAGGTTTGACCATGGCGCTGAATGAAACTTGTATTTGCTCTCCATTAATATGGTTCCATCAAGTCCTATATTTCTTGAAGACTTCAATTTTTTTCAGTATACTATTATTCCATTCTCCAATAAGAGCCTGTTCAAAGCATTGCTCTAACACATTTGATGGAAGGAATTGACCCCTCTATTGATGCCTCTGTGAGACTCATGGTTGCATAATTAAATGCTTCCATTTCGGACACTTCTGAGAAGCAATTTAAGTAAATCTTAAGATTAACCTGGTGAAATAGTTTAGGTGCGCGCAAGTTGGCCTGGACACCACCATTATTAGAAAAAAGAAAGAAAGTTAATCTTAAGATTAAAAGGAAAGGTTGAATGTTAGGTTATCATTTAAATGGTGAATTCTTCCAAGTTCGAACAATTATAGCAGTCAAAAGCTTTGTACCTCTTTTAGATTTTTCTTTTTCCCATAATTTTTGTGCTTTGTTGCAGGTACGACTGGCTGTGTAATAAGAAACTTCGAGAAGGCTACTTCCTTTGGGCTATGTTTGCTTATGGTTTAGGTATTATGAGTTTTTCAGAGAATGGGATAAGCTTATTTATTTGACATGTTATTTTGATTGTGACCAAGTGAACACTGTGTTCTTGTTGTCGATAGAATTGTACTGTTGTTGGTGTTTTTTTATGTTTCATCTCTCTCCCTCTCCCTTCCCTTCATCTGTTCAGTCAGAAATAGCCTGGACTGTTCCACAGAATTGTGCAACTTGATCCTGGTTAAGTGATGAACTGCAGTAATGATGCTTAGTTTCTGCCCTTATTCCTACCAATAATGAATAATTCGAGAACAAATATTGACGTGTAGCAAAAATTTGAGGGGTGCTATTCTTGTTAGTGTTTGAGCTTGATATGTATCTCTTTTAACATGTCAAGGGAAGTTACTAGTTTTATGTAAACAGCCGAAATATTGTATATAATGCATTAGAAGCATCCGTTTGTACTGTTGGTCCGTGTTTTTCAAGGTTTAGAACTGGTGCTAGCTTCTGTTTGACTGTTAATTCTTTTTTTTTACAGGTTTGCTCACGACATATGTGGCTCTAAATTTGATGGATGGTCATGGTCAACCTGCGTTGCTTTACATTGTTCCATTTACACTAGGTATGCTACAAGACTGTCAAGAAGCATAAAAAGAGCTGTCGTAATGGAGCAGCCAAACCTATAACATCTTATTGTAACCATAGAGTCTACCACCGTACATTAGAATCTACCACCACAAACACACGTAGGGTGTTCCTCATGGAATAGAAATAAGAACTAAACATTGGGTCTGAGAACCTTAGTTTTCAATTTTCTGCAAATTGGATTCTGATTTCCCTTACCTTTTTAAAAAAAATAAAAGTTTAGGAATGAAAAAAGAAGAGGTATTAAGAGAGAAGAATGAGGAATACAGAGGAGAGACTACACCTTTGGTTTTGGCTCTAATACCATATAAAGAAAGAGGATATTGGACCTAATTCAACCCCAAAAGTTAGCTCATGAGGTGATTGTCCAAAATCATATGAAACGGGACAATATTTTGTAACCTTGCGGGGAAAAAAGAAATTTGAGAAAGGTAGTTAAAGATGTTACAGATGGCTTTCCTCTCCAATCTTCAAAGACAAATAGATGCACCAAAGTGCAGTATGTGTAACTGTAGCAGGCAAACAAGGAAGAACCAAAATGTATAAGTAGATATTTTCTCGGTTGTCTCACCTACATTCTCCATGCAGCCTTCCCTTTCTTCCTTGCTCTCCTTGTGGGCATTTCTTTCAGAAGTTGACCTAGAATTTCCCATATTATTATCCCTTTCCTCTTTCAATATTTTAGGTAAACAAGAAAAAGCTTTTCATTTTCTATGTCAAGTGCTCATCATTTTTAACATCTGTTATTGCTCATGTTAGGCACATTTTTGACGCTGGGAAAGCAAAGAGGTGATCTCAAGCATCTATGGACAAGAGGAGAACCAGATAGACCTTGCCCGCATGTCCGGCTTCAACCAGAGTAACTAGATAGTAGACGAGCCATCGATTGAATCACCTATAACTCTGATATCTCCAAATAGGAGCTGGGTATATAAGAGAAATTTGTACAAGAGGGTTGAATTCTGAAGATTGCAGGATACTTAAGTAGGCTGCTTTGGTGTGAACGCCAAGTAGAGACTTTATGGCTAAGCAGCAAAGCTGAGATGTAGTGCCTGTAGATTAAGTAGAATTGCAAAGACATGTGTACTGCCTGTGCACCTCACCTTGTAGTTTGACAAGCAAATCCGTCACCATCAGGCAGTAGGCGTAATAGCTTCTTCGGAGGGAAACCCGTGTGCAGTAATTTCATCTTATAGTAGGAAAGACAACTTTTGTATGATAGAACTTGCATTAGCTGACATTATGCAACTTCAAAAATACTGGATGTACTAACTTGGCGGCTATTCTTGAACAGCAGGTGTTATTTACTCATATTATGGTGTTGTTTCTATGAGTAAAAATCAGTTTATTTGACAGCTGAAGACCTACAGTTAGATTACTATTCCTAACAAGATCATCATTTGGTAAGTCTTACCCAAGTTTGAAAAGGATGATTCCTTACACTAGTGTTCAGTCTACTTTAAGGGGTCGTTTGATATGAGGTATAAGTAGATATAGTGCTGGTATAAAAATTTAATGTCATCTTAGTACTTTGTTTGGTTAGCAAATCTGGTATAAGTTATCCCGGGATTAAAATTAGTATCGGGATAACTTATACCTTGTAGGGGGTGGGATAATTAGTGCCGGGATAACTTATACTTTCTTCTTAGAAATTATGCAATTGTCATTTTTAATACTAACATACCAAATAGTGATAAAAAACAATACCAGGATAACTAATCCTAACATAACTTATCCCAGCATAACCCGTATTCAAACCAAACGATCCCTAACTCTTCTCTCTTTAGTCGAGCTTGACACCAGCTGTAATTTGTGAAACTCACATAGTTGATCCTGAGTGCAGAACGTTTTAGAGAGAGAGAGAGAGACTCAAATAGTAGTTCAACTCGAGCTACAGCTGTAATTAGACACCCCTTTTTAGAAAAATTCACAGATATATATATATATATATATAAATAAGTTTTTGAAAAAAAGAGAGCAATATCTATATGTTAAATAGAGAGATACGGATAATGTAAAGTAACCATCAACCTGGACAAGAAGCTTAGCATTAGACCCTCTACAACTCTAGATTCATTCAAAATCTGCATACAAGTTTAATAGACCAACATTCTTACGTAAAATCCTGTATATGTTACTGATAATCAATGCATTACAGCTGACACCACATAGCAAATATTATACAGGAGAAACGAACCCATGTTAAATGTACAGAGGAAACGAACCCATGATTAACAATACTAAAAATTAACAGTGTATATATCCTAGAAACAAGCACAATAATATTTTAATTATTTTTGGATCATGATAACAAAAGAAAATAAAATAAAGAAAGAATATCTTAAATCCCGAGAAACTAATATAAACTTCTGTCATTATTATTTCTCTGGATGTTGATATTCCTCTTATTAACAATTGTTGCCACGTGTAGCCAGGGGCGGAGCCAATGAAGTAGCTTCGGCTTATGCTCTATATGTGTTAAAAATCCAACTAAATAAATGTAAAAGATAGTGCTTGAATTCAGTAAATTAGACACGATGTGATAGAATTTTGAATATGAACCCATAAAGTTCCAATTTTGGATTCGTCTATAGTGTAGGTCCATTTAATATCAAGACCCAAGAGGTGGTCAACCACTTGATACACACACATGTTTTCTGTATTTTCTTTTATTGTCCTTTTCTGTAATTGGCAATCACATGTCCGAGCGAAAAGAGGAACAAATTTATAAGTCTATCAACTACACCAAGAATATTGTTTACAGTGGATATGGGGTACACTAAGAAATGAAATATGAAAAATCAAGAATATTATTTACAGTAGCTTATGAGATGGATGTGCGGATTTTGAGCTGTTTGCTCTTATGATGATTTATGATGATTTATGATGATTTAGAACAGGGACCCTCAGAAGTAACATATATCATGATGCATGTATGTAGTGTTTCCAAGTTGTCGTTTGTCGAAATGGCCCAAGGAATAACGAAGTCTGTGGTCGAAGAGCCAACGAAAGTCGTAGTCAAGGTGTCAACAAGGGTCGAGGTCGAGTATCGTTGACAGAGCAGTAATTGCTAGTTTTTAAGATATGATATTAAAGAGAATATTTCTAGTAGATATTCTCTACACTTGTACTATTAGGGTTTCTTATAAATATGTCCCATATATATAGAAAAAAAGAGACAATGGTAGGTGACATGTGATATTCATTTTGTAAAGAACACACTTTGACAAAAAGATTCGATTCTCACTTGCTAAGATATAAACATCACCTTTTCACTAAGATTCTTGTCCATAATTTTTCACTAGATGCGAGAATAATTCAAATATTCAAGGGATTTTTTATCATTCATCATTGTTAGGAAGAACATCCACTTATTCCATTTTTTCTTGGGTGACTGCCATTTATTGCTTTTCATTGTTATTAAATGCAACACTATTATTTCTGATTTGTGTAATATTTGCTACACATCACTATTACTGATCGTCCACACTTGCGTGATATTTATTGTTTCTTTAAGGACCTCATATGAGGATATTATTGTTAGCTAAGATTAACCCTTATTTACATAAATCTAATTATTTGTACCAAGATCCATATTTTTTTGGTCAAACAATTTGGCGCCGTCTGTGGGGATTTCTTAGTTAATTTTTTAGTTTCCTCTAGATCTCCAACTAACACAGGTCACTAACATCGAAAAACCCAAGATCTCCTTTTTGTGTATACAAAACCCTACATGGCAGGTTACCAAGGAGAAAGGACGAAAATAACAAGTGACTTCACAACCAACCTCATGAATGTCATCAACGAAAGCTGTGAAACGACAGATAAGGATACGACGCCCAGTGCATCCCCTAGCTGAGAGGGATCACCGCCCCCGCACTGCAGCATAACGAAACCCCGTGGTAAATGGGCCTCCACGTCAATAGAGGAAGGGACACCCCCAATTGTGAAAAAACTCTTCGAGGCATGGCTAACCGACCGCTAACAAGTGTCCTCAACAAACCCGCTTCAGGCACGACTTCAAAAACTACAAGGACTTGCACGATACAACAGAAGATGAGTAGTGCAACCGACCCCTCCCTTCAACGGCAAGTATAACTCACAATGTCACGCTCCTAAGTTGCTGCCGAAAAGGGACGTCGGCCGGTTCGTAGAGCAGTCGTACAGTGATGATGCAACCCCGCATGCCATACCAAAGACCTTCAAAATGCCGCCCTACCTCAAGATATATGACGGCACGACCGATCCTGAAGATCATGTGACCCACTACGTCACTGCCGTGTGAAAGGCATGATCTCGCCTAAGAACAAGTGTCCTCCATTTTGCTGAAGAAGTTTGGCGAGACCCTACAGGAGGATCATTAACATGGTATTCGTAGATACCATAATGCACCATAGAAACTTCCAAAGAAATGGCTGATAAGTTCGTAACCGCCCATGTCGGAATCAAGAAGGCCGAGGCAAGAGTAAACAACATATTTGTTATTAAGCAGTCCCTGGGAGAGGGACTAAGGGACTTCCTCGCCCGGTTCAACAGAGTAAGGATGAGTCTGCTAAACGTATCCGAAGGGATGGCTATCGCAGCTTTTCAGAACGGGTTGAATCGAGAGGGTTCAAGAGCAACTAGAAAATTGTTGAGTCGATTGATGAAATATCCTCCAACCACCTGGGACGAAATCCATAATGCTTATTATGCCGAGGTCCGAGTAGACAAGGACGATCTTAACAGACCAACTCACCGGCTAACCTCGGTGCAAGTCGAATCCAGAAAAGAACAAAGAGACAATACCAAAAGAGATCACTTGATTCCACGACCTAACAGGGAACAATACCAACCATATGTAAGGGCAGCCGGCGTACCCCCCCCCCCTCACCTATGAAGAAGGCTCGTCCAGACCAAGGACAGGGACTCATCCGAATGAAAGAGTTATGCCTCCATTATTATCTGCTCACAATTTCTGTGTTTCGCCTACAGAAATAGTTTACGCCCTTGAGAAACTCGAAACAAAAGTGAAGTGGCCGCCAAAGATGAGGTCAGACCCAAACACTAGAAAGTCTGACGCCCTCTATGAGTTCCATCAGGAACACGGACACAAAACAGAAGATTGCATTGCCCTCAGACAGGAAGTCGTAAACATGTTACGACAAGGGCACCTCAAAGAACTGTTAAGTGACGAGGGTAGGACCAACTTTGCCATAGGACGACGTGAACATCATGGCCCTCCAAAGCCGCCATCACCATCTCATACCATCAACATGATCATCGACGGCAGTGACGATGCCTTTGTCAACGGCGTGAAGCTCACCACCACTCACAAACTCAAGCGGTCGATCACCCGCGAACAGTATGACGAACTCGAAGAGAGTATCATCTTCGACGAGTCAAATGCCGGCGATTTGACTTTCCATCGTAATGATGCCATTGTTATTACTTTACACATTTTAGATATCGATGTCAAATGCATCATGGTGGATGATGGAAGTGGTGCATGCATTATCCATCCTCGGGTCCTTACCCAAATGATGTTCGAGGATAAGATAGTGCCGCGCTGCATCACACTAACCGGTTTTAATAATGCAGTTGAGAGAATCTCCAAGGAAATTACACTCCCCGTCTTGGCCGACAGTGTAACTCTAGAGACAACATTCCACATCATGGACCAGGCCACTGCGTACAATGCCATAGTGGGTCGACCATGGATGCATCTCATAAGAGTCGTCCCCTCCAGCCTATACCAAGTGATTAAATTCCCAACACGATATTCAGCATACGTGGGGAACAACGCACATCCCGAGAATGATACCGCATTGCCTTTGACAGCACGATCACCCAACAGAGAAAAGAAAAAGAAAAAGAGGCATAACAATCAATAGGGCTGAGGTCGGAGCAAGATGAGACAAGGGACGTCATCAAGGATCCCCACGCGATCGAAACCACTGGATCGACCATAGAAGACCTCTACCCGTTCAATTGGACCTCAATGATCATAGCAAGAAGGCCTATATCGGCTGCAAACTTCGAGAACCAGGTAAATTTCGTCAATTCTTAACAGCTAACGCAGATTTGTTTGCTTTCATCCATGTAGATATGCCGGGTATCCGAAAGAAAATTGCTACGCACAAATTAAATGTCGACCCATTCTCCCCCCAGTGAGGCAGGTCAGGCGTAAATTTAACCCCGTCAACATTGAGCAGTCCACGATGAGGTAGAAAAATTGTTAGGAAACAGTTCCATCAGGGAGTCGAAGTACCCCAAGTGGGTCGCCAACGTAGTGATGGTCAAAAAGAAAAATGTAAAATGGAAGATGTGCGTGGATTTCACATATTTGA